GTATTTTTTTTTTTTTTTTTTTTACCGCGTAATAATAATAATTGCCAGACGGCTACTTGTGCGGCGCACCGGCGTTCCGTGAAATTTAATTTGAAAAAAATAATAATATTATTAACGTTCTTAGGATATTTCTCTCCACAACTGCCACGGCCGATAACCGTATCCGTCGGAGACCGCAGTAATATAATCCCATTCGTCGGGCTATTGCAATTATACAGCTGCAGTAAAGGTATACGTGCTACACGGGGGGGCAAAATTAGACGAGGCGCAGATCTGTCGGATTGACGTAAAACGACAAAAACAGTTACAAAGAGTAGAGAAATAGTATCGCTTATGAGCGAAAATGTATTTTTTCAAAAGTTAACATAAATGATATGGCTCTCCTTTAAAAAAAACAAAAACCACTTCATAGTTCGGACGTTATATTGTAGTTAATATTAATATAATTATTGAAGGAAAATAACGCTGAAAATCTTTGGATCAGTAAAGAATAACCGAAAAATAAATTATAAAACAAAGTAAAACGGAGCGCTACAGATAAAATTTGGAAAAGACCATGTTATATAGATCATAAAAAAAGAAACACTGAATTCACTACTACGGGTAATGTTCGAACATAACCCGAACAGAGAAAATAACTTTGTAAAGGCTTAGGAAGAGTTAAGAAGACTTATGGGTATAGTGAAAAAGATTATGGAAATCGGTTAAGAGACGGACCAAATTGGTAGATATTTGAGATGATGGCTAATATTGGTCTATCAGATAGGAGATTGGTGATGGACGGTATGGTCCAAATGAACTCAAATAGTATTAATATAATACAGTGGTCGCCACTTATAGTGTTCACTAGTTATACGAATCGGCCGCTTATAGTGATCAGAAATTCCAGGACGTTATCAGTGCATATTTCGTCGCTTACTGTGTTCAGATTTTCCGTAATAGTTATCAAAAATGGTCATATCGGAAATGGAAACTATACAAAAATACACAAAAGGAAGACAAATCTGATGAATATTAATTTACAAACCTAATCTAATCAAATGTNCGGTTAAGAGACGGACCAAATTGGTAGATATTTGAGATGATGGCTAATATTGGTCTATCAGATAGGAGATTGGTGATGGACGGTATGGTCCAAATGAACTCAAATAATATTAATATAATACAGTGGTCGCCACTTATAGTGTTCACTAGTTATATGAATCGAATGTAAAATCATTTATTTTTCCGATATTTTTTACCGGTTTTGGAATCGCCGCTTATAGTGATTTCCGGTTATAGTGTTCAAAATACTCTCGGACGAATGTGACAGTGACCACCGGCGACCGCTGTTATAATATTATCAGTATTGTATTTTTATAATAATTCCTCCTCGAACGGCCGGCAGGTATGCATCCAAATGTACGAGAATGCTATTTGCTGCAGCGTCGTTGTGCGGCGGCGCGAAAGGTAAAACTCAAATTGTTGCGGTTATTGAAACCGATTAGTTTTTTCATAAGAACTGGAATTTATATTTTGAAAATTATTTGAAATTGTATGTAACTTTTCAATGTTTTGTAAGAAAAATATTATAATTTTTTTCTTTTTTGTGACACTTAAGTATGAGTAAAAAAATAAACACAATTTATAAACAGTGTTTAAGCAGTTTAATAAACTTTTTCTTTTTTTAGATTCTGAGTTTAGCGAAGATTTTATTGATTTTACAAAGATGTTTAATTTTTTTTCTTTATCTTTTATGTGAAAGCTTACTATGGTTATCAAGTATAGCACGTTTTCTGAAAGGAAATGTTCTTTGGGTGGTACTTTAAAGAAGTCATTTTTTTGAAATTCTCATTAATATTCGAAATAATGAGAATAACCTGGTTTTTTGAGTTAAAAAAGATTGAAAGATTAATAATAAGATTGTTATCAGCAACCGTTTATTTATTTTTTGTTATTATTAATATTTTAATTTTTTCTAAACAATCATTGTAATTATCATGGAAACGCACATTGTTATAATCATTTTACTGTAATATGACATATATATTGTTGACAAGGCAACACTATCAACTGAACTCTGCTCAGAATGGTTTTTTGTTATCAATAGTTTATCGTTGCTTGCCTTACTAAATAAAAAACGAACAAAATATTTCCTACAAAAAACAGACTGGAAATCGAAGAATTCAAATATTTTTCAACATTAAAATTAATAGATAGCGGGTGAATTCTACTTCAGACTATCGGTCTAAAACGGACCACTCCCTTTGAATGGTTATCGGCCATTAGATTATTGGAACATTTTTATCTATACATACTATTGGTCATTAAATGATAAAAAAATAAATTTAATATTTTACAAAAGTGGAGAAAATTTAAAAACCCTTATCTACACCTACATAATTGAAAGACGCACAGTCGATCTTTGGGATTATCTAGATAAAATTATCTTAATTATAATAGCATGCCGTCTTTCAACCGTATAAAACCAAAACATTCAATCTTCATCTTCCTGATTATTTTTAACACGTAGACAATAGCTAAATACTATATGTAAAACCATAACATTAGTCCTCGATAAAATCCGCGTAATCGCGCGGTAACCAAGTTCGTTATCAAACGTATCGTAATATTGTGTTTTGTACTAATAAAAAAAAAATTTGATTCTTCGTATTCGCAAAAAAAAAAAAAAAAAATTATTAACGGACGTATACTGCTAGTACTAATTGTAAAGCGTTTCGATTATTTAGAATCCGGAATCGCCTATATTGCCATTTTAGAATGTCATTTTTACAAACCATCTCAAACTGTCGACACATTTTAATCGTGTTTGTTATTATTCGCGTTGTGGGTTACGGTCGAAAATTATATTCCATCTAGTTAAAAAGACAACCGATATATCTTTTTCAACACCAGCACAAAACGCCGTAGTGTTGTATCGTAACACGGCGGGCGCAGTAACAGTGTGTAAATTAATATGAAACGTAATAATATACTTCAAATGTTCACCGAGAAACATATTATATTAAATATGTTTATATAAACGAATCGTATAAAATTTTTTTTTTTTTTTTTTTTTTTTACGGTTTGTGTATTAATAGCTGTCGGTATAAAATTTCCGATACGTCTAAACGTCGCAAATACATGAATAGGAATTTCGTGTTACCGGACGGTGCCAAAATTTATTCATATAATTAATATAATTTTCAATAAAACAATTTAGTCGGCCGTCCGTTTATAAGCACGGGAGTTTTATTATGACGGTCAAGTGGTTTGTCGAACACTAAATAAAAAAAATAATAATAAAATATAGTAGGTAATAAAATAAAATATTATCAATAGTCCCCGTTCGTTTACGATTCGCACGATAAATATTTGGAAAAGAACCAAATTTTCAATATTTTTTTTTTTTTTTTTTTTTTTTTTTATTCTAAAAATCACATCATACTCGTATTTCAGTTTTATACGGCGATTTTTTTTATTTCAATTTATGTACGGATACGTAAATGTCTCGCGAACGATAAATTCACAGCATTCTTTTAAACCTACGTCGTCGTCGTTTTATAATGTTAATATAATAATATTTTGCCGGCTCTTTTCTGGTGTATTTTTTATAGCTTTATCGGAAACATTCGATGTTTTTTTACAGTTTTGTTTTATTTTTATCGAACTATGCGAATACATTAGTTGTGGCTAAAATGAAAATATTCATTAGATGTTCTTATACTAAAAAGATTTAAAAAAAAAAAATAACCAGTATATCAATGCTGGTGTTTTGAATGCATTGTCGTTTTCTTTTACAAAATGTCGTGTTTTAATAAGTGCGTCACTGCCGTAAATGGGTAGTCCAATATACAGATTCTTTTGTTGGGTAGATTATTCAGTTTATACATTATAATGTACGCAACGAGTGAAAACGAAAAACATTTGTGAGCGGAACACGGCTAAAAAATACATATTTTTGATAAATTTAAATTGTTGCTAGAGATTAATTAATAACAACAGGAATGTATGTACGTTTTCTTATGTACTCGAAAAACCACATCGTTTTTATTATGATAAAATCGAAAATTGTCTAGTGTTTTTTTTTTTTTGTTCATTATTTAAATTTAACAACAAATTATCTTTGGGCCAAACTCCGTTCGACATCTAATTCGAAATACCCGGACAACAGTATTTACGATTGATATTTTAAACCAACAACGTAACAACACTACCATACAAATACGTAGAATACTGTATTCGCGCGCATCGGCTACTATATTGTTTTTTTTTTTTTTTTTTTTTTTCATTGTACCGCACCACTTCACCTTGCTTTAATTGAACACGAGTCAACGATCTATATTTGTCACCAAACGTCGCGCGCGCACACACACGCACGGTTAGCAATTAAGTTATTTAGATTAAGTTAATTTTAAGTAATCGTAGGTTACGTAATTTTATACCAGACCTAACCGCCGTGATCCGGTGTATACCTACCGTCGACATCGTGTCTCTGTTCGCCCGCCGTACGTGAGTGTCGTACATTTTACGATAAAAGTCGCGAAATAAATTTTTAAGCCACAAACAAACAATTCATCGTTCGGCTCTAACAGTCTTTTTTTGAACTTTACCATTGTCGCTTACCGTTGTTCTATTCTGTTACCAGAACATCGCTATCAAAAGCGGTTACCGGCTATTTGTCTGTGTATTTTCGTTTCGTTTCCGTGCGCATTGGTGTAGTTGTTTTCTTGGTTTTCGGTTTATAGGTAAGGCGGCTGGCAAGTCCGTAACAACTGTGAGTTTTTTTTAACCATTATTTTATATTGTTGAGCCGGGAGGGCCATATATTGCTATTTATATTGTATTTTTTTTTTATTTATTGTCATAATTCGTTCGCGCTAATCGCCGCGATTTTAATTTTTCACGTTTTTCGTTTGTCGGGCCAAGATGGCCGCAATATCAATTAAGTGTATTATTTACAAATTACTACCGGCAATACAAAATCTGATTACAGTTTATTTCTATTTGTTCCTTTGTTACCATCGTTTTAACAAGCCGCACAGCTACAAGTATATGCACGCACCAACACACCAACAACTTCATTTGTGTCGCTATATACATAATGGTATACACAGCAGATCGGCAGGGTGGTCGGTGGTCAGTGGCGGTTGATATTTCAGATTGGTAAACGGGCGCGCGTGTACTACAATATTATTATACGCGCTCCCGGATTGTACGAATTGTTACGCGTGAAATTAAATAATATGCGATTTGGAGAGCAAAAACGGGCATCTCAGGGCTGTCCGTGATTTTTCTAATATATTTCTTACAGGCGCGTTCTCGCCAAAAGCGACTAGCGGCGAGAACGCCTGCACTTGGATTATTTAATCATTGACGGTTTTCCCGCCGGAAGGACCGAAAATCGGGTCCGACTGTTTGAAAACTGTTTTCCAGCGACCCGACACCACACGAGTCCCTACGTAGTCGTTGCTCTATTAGTTCCTCGCCGTTTCTATAAATAATAATAGTATATAGTATATGAATGTATTTTGTAGTAACCGATTTTATTCGACTGACGCTGTTATACGGCAGTATTCGTACATTTTGTTTTAAATTCTTATATTATAGCTCCGTTAATTCATGCATTTCGACCGGACGTTTGTCCCATTAATTCTTTAGATGATACGAATGAACTGTACGGGTCAACGTGATGTGATTAATATTAATGTGTGAATAATATATTGTTTACCGTTCCGTATCGTCTCGTGGCGGACCCGGGGAAAGGGCACAGGGGCACGTGCCCCCTGTAAATGGGCTACAGTTTTTATTTATATATTTCCTATTCATTTAATATATAATTCATAGTTGATTTACTGAAAATATAAATAACTAGCTGACCCGACAATGCTTTGCTATTGCTATAGATAACAGTATAAATATGTAAATAATAGTAATAATAATAATAATAGGTTTTTTTGTCCATGACAACCATGACCAAGGTCACCCGCGAATATTCAAAAACAAATAATTAGATTTTCGTACCAAAAATACCCGATTACCGCTATTTCATCCCCTTAGGGGTCGAATTTTCAAAAATCCTCTGTCAGCGGATGCACCGTCGTAATATCTGTTATATGTAAATTTCAGCCAGTCCCGTCCAGTGGTTAGGGCTAAGCAATGATAAATCGGTCAGTCAGTCGGGGGACACGTCGTCTTATGTGTGGAGAGAGAGAAGATGCGCGCCCCCCGCCCCCAAGCTTTTAAAAAAATGTCTGGGTCCGTCGCCGGGCTCAAATGCACGCGCTACAACAAACGCTAAAACCGAAAACTCACGCCGTGTCGGGAGGGGGTGGGGGGTGGGGCGTTAGACTCTTCGCGGATCGGCGACGCGGCGGAATGACGTTCGCCGTCCTGTGTCGGCGGCGGCGGCGGCGGCGGCGGTACACTTGCGGTCGCGCCCGCAATCGGATCCGGAGATCGAAATACGTGTGGCCGGTCGCGGGAGTTTCGTCCGGTGGTTCGCGCGCGGTGGTCCCGGCCGTTTGTCGTCGCCGGACCTTCGCCGAGCCGCCGCCGCCTTCGCGTCGCGTACACCGCCCGGCACTCGGCGCGACCCCGGGATGTTATAATAATAATAATAATATTTGTCGCCGCGATAAGAGCCGGCCGAAATTTATGTGACCGCTCGCCGGCGGCACGACTGTCGTTGGTGTCATTATTATGTTGCCGTCGTCGTATTGCAACACAAATTGTGTGCGCGAGCGGTCGACGTGTGCGGCGCGTTATACACGCCCGTACGCATCGTGTCGTCGTGTGGCATTCCGACCGGGCCAGAAACGACGGCGGCACTCGGGCCCGGAGAGACGGCGTGCGGTGCGGGACGTTTTTTACGCCGCGGCGGAAAAAAAAATATTCGCGGGCGTTTTTTTCGTACGTTGGCGCCGGGTCGCAAAAGAAAAATAGAAAACTGTGCGGATGGCCGGCGGCCGGCCATCCGGTTCCGTAAGACTGAAAACGGTTCCGTAAATTCGGTCGTTTTTCGATTTTCTCCAGAGTTTTTCTCGGCAAATGTTGAAAATCGGTAAAAACAACGTAGGAGAACCGGGCAAACCGGTACGACACAAACAGATATTATTAAAGAAAATATATAGAGCCTATTTTATTATTTTATTGTAATATGGCGTATATATTGTTGACAAAGCATCACTATCAACTGAACTCCATTCAGAATCGTTTTTTCGTAAGCAATGGTTTATCGTTGTTCACAAGTATACACTAAATCACCTTTAATAGTGGTTGCACCCGTCCTCGTTATCATAGGACGTGTTTTTAAATAGTGTTATCATGAACCAGATATTATGAAAACAACAAAATCATGTTACTGATAACCTTCTTTTTTTTTTTTTGTTCATCGACCTTTTTTTATCTAATCTAAGTTCTAGTTTCTTTTTCTACATCACTGCGTATATACTCGCTAAAAAATGTACTTCTGATTATGCACTGATTATATAGCTACGATTAAAACATTATATCGATACTTTAATACACTAGCGTGAACAATTAAGTATTCCTTGAGGAGATTCACCTATAGGCGGCGATTTGTAGACTATACAACAAGTGGTTATAAGTATTTTACATTCTATACATATTTACAGTATAGCGAGGGCTTTAACTATTCAACTACTGTTGATTTTATACGAAATTAACTTACGCGAAATAAGACTGTAATCTCTATACAACTATAATTTCACACATAGGTAGTACGAACTCTCGACCGGTGTAAACTCGACGCGTAAAAATCAAACAGACGAGGTTCCCAAGACGAGAAACCTAATATTGTATGAAAAGTTTCGTGATCATATATGCTTGCGTTCGAAACTGAACGTTAGATTTTAATTATTTATGTCTACTACACTACCGGTGAGCGATTTATTATTTGTTTTTGAATTTGAATTACAGTAAAATGTACCCAATGATATTTTACAGTGCAAGTTATCCTATCCGAAATCGATCTGGTTAATATTTGGAAACGAATTTTGCGAACGGTTTAGTTATCACGGACTCAAATGTATGTACACAGTTCTACAGCTCTATAATCGATACTACATATTATGATAATATATGCTTTGAGCCGTGTTGTTTCGATAAATGTCGGTTTTTTTTTTCAGGCATTTTGGTTTTGTTTTTTGTAACGGTTCAGAAATACGACCACGACACGTCCACGGTTATATATCACGTTTTCATGGTATGCGCGTACATAGCTCCGTTTTTCGGAGCAATCGCCGCGGATTCGTATTGGGGAAAGTACAAGTGAGCGAAAAAAAACATTTTATTTTTAATACCTAGGTTTTACCGCATCATAAAAAATTAATTGAAATATCGTACACATTAATTTGTAGTGAGTAATATAAAAACAAAAAAAAAAAACCGAATTTGATTGTCTTTATTATCTTCGGAGGTATTACAACGGGTATATTTTTGTGGAACACCCTGTATATCGCCACGAAAAAAATATACATATACATTATATCCGTTAATGCGAATCGAAAAAAAAACAACAAATTTTTCATTTAATAAATCAAACGTTTTGTCTTGTAATTCGTCTAAAATATAATAATATATAATTTCAATACACATAACTACTATAAATAAACACACACATACAGTCATCGTTTAATTTTAAACTGAAGATGGAGAAGCGGGAAGGACCAAATCCCTAATCAATTCCCAAAGTACGTGTCACTGATCGTGCATGCATTGTATTTTCTACTCTGTGTGTTTTTTTCATTAATAATATTAGTATTACCGACAAAATAATCTGAGTTTTACTATACCGCCTATACCTATAATATTGTTATGCATCTTATAGTTGTTACTCGTATTTTTTTTTCTTTTTTATTACCTACTATAATAAAATAATATGGCCGTCTAAAGCTGTTAAAATTGGTATTAAAGATTATCAAAACACGCGTTCGATTACCAACTAATAAAATTGTTTTAATGATTGGAACGTGTAGTACATAATTCTTCACTCCCGTCGTTAAATTTGTATTTTTTTTTTTTTTTTTTTGTTGTTGTTACAGTATACGACCAAATAATAATAATATTGTTTATAATATCTAATCAAATTCCGTCGTTTATAGACTTTTTTTTTTTTTTTTTTAATTTCCACCAATATGTTCGCCTAGTTTCAAAAATAAATTTAACGTATTTTCTTTAATTTATTTAAATTAAAACGTGCGGAGATTTCTCCGCACGTTTTTCTATCTTTAATAATTATTTCAGCCTAACAAAATCAATTTAGTCGATTATTGTACTATACGCCTACAAACCTACTGTGTCATCAAATTATAGCTACGCATATTTTTTTTTTATCCAAAACTACTAATGATTTTTTCCTAGTCCTGCAGTAGATACGGTAGCTGGTTATTGATTTTCGAAGAAAGGCTAAAATCTACGCCAACAAATTGGTAAAACACGTACAGAGATTATGATCATAGAACCAACCAATAATCATTGCCTATAGGACCCTAGTTACTGATTCTCACACCCCTTTATGATTTTGTCCTAGACGCATCGTATATTTGTTTCTATACTTGCCAATCCAAAAATGTATACATACAGATAATAATAATAATGATATGATATAATAATTTAATATTATGTTTATTTTTTCAGAACAATTTTTATCTTGTCCATCGTACATGCAATCGGTAACATCATGGTCGCTGTCGCGTCTTTTGCCACTTCGATCAGTTTAGGTTTTCAAAGGTAATACGATTTTTACTCGTATTTTTCTATATAATTATCATGTAGGTATAGTGAGAGTGGCGGATCCCGTTCACTTCCTAATATACTCTCGGCTTGGCTTCCATCAAACATGCGTGCCTTATAGCACCGTCCGTTATCTTGTTCCAGATCCACCCCCGTAGGTACGTGTATTTAGTTTAAAATTTAATTAATTGAATTTCTCACATCTCAATCCCCGATTGAGAGGCGACCATCGGTGCAGTGGTTCGATTACCTTTTGTAATTAATTTTTTATTAACAACGGCGCAATTATAACATTTTACACGGGTAAAAAACGCGTTTAAAAAAAAAGACTGCCAAATTATAATCTATATCCCTCGAACGACGTCTCTGCTATCATATACCTAGCTATTTGTTTAACCACGGTTTCAATAATAATGAATTTGACTGGAATAGTATTAAGTATATATAAAGATTACCCACTTTGTTGAACTATAAGAAACATCGTGGACAATTACAGTTTGTGTTCAATTATTTATTACAAATGTAAAAAAAAAGATACGGATATACTTCGCACAATTGGTAGGCCACTGTTGTAAGTAATAAATTGGGAAGGGTAGGATATAGAAGTGAATTTAATGTATATCTGTACGCAACGATTAATCTTTACTAACGAAAAATCGATTCTGAGCGGAGTTCGATTACACGTGTATTAAAAAGCCGTAATATTTACGATTTGAAAATAATACATTTTGTGTATTTTCCAGGTTTTTTTCATTTATCGGGAAAACTCCTGAGAAAATTAAAAAAATTACCTCCCTAAAGTACCGTCTCAGACAGATTTTCTTTCAAAAAGAGTGCTATGTATGAACATCAAAGCGAAATTCCTGGTATAAATGTAGTCCAAAGAAAAAAAAATTAAACCAATACATTTCATTCGCTGCGCTCAAAATCTAAAAACTAAAATAAAAATAGTTGCAATTTCCGACGGAAACTGTGGGTGATCGCGTCATCTGCATTTTTCCCGGGGGACGCCATTGAGTGTATAATACATCGGTAATTAGTATATTATGTTATTGTTATTCGCAGGTCGTTTACGATAGCGGGTCTCTTGTTGACCGCGATCGGAGCCGGCGGCATAAAACCGTGCATTTCCGCGTTTGGCGGCGATCAATTCGTATTGCCCGAACAAAATGATCAACTGAACAAGTTTTTTTCGATATTTTACTTTGCCGTAAACTTGGGAGGGCTCGTATCAACTTTCATCACGCCGGAGCTGAGAAAATCGGTCCAGTGTTTCGGCGAGGATTCGTGTTTCCCGCTAGCTTTCGGCACTCCCGCCACCCTAATGTTGATTTCAATAGGTGCGAAAAACGAAATGAAAATGGAAAAATATTTAGATTTTGTTTTTTACGAATACCTATGTTTACTGCGTAAACAGTCAGTACTTTCAATTTAATTTCAAACGATATTATGTTTTGTTTAACATGCGCAGTGTTGTTTGTGTTCGGCAAGAGTCTTTACAAGATCAAAAAACCTACGACCAGTATCATAACGTCGTCGATCGGATGCATTTTCGTAAGAGCGCAATTACATTACGTGAAAAAGAAAAAAGGAAAAAATAATAACAATAATAATATCTGGGCGACTAAATACTTGCGTATAAACAATTTTTTTTCTCTCTATCAATTATTATAGCGTGCGATCAAAAACAAAATAACCATTACCAGCGAAGTGGAAAAAAAATACTGGTTGGAATACGCCGACGACAAATACAGCAACCGCGAAATATTCGAATTGAGATCGGCGCTAGACGTTATGTATTTGTTCATCCCGTTACCGATATTTTACATGCTATTCGACCAACAGGTAAATAAAGACCGAAAACGCCCGCGAGCAGAGGTGCTCGGTCGCCGTATAGAGTCGAATTTTTTCTCCCACCTATATTTTGTATACAATAGAAATATCCTTCTCGTGAAACGATAAATAACCCAATACTGCGTCATAATAATACGATACTATGTTATAATACCATATTCTATACTAACTTAACGACAAAAAAAAAGAGGAGGGGGGAATTTCAGCATACATTTAAGGAACGGGGTAGGGTTAATAATTGAAACTTTCAAAAGACACGTCTTTTGCGTGTCTAACGCCGTATATTCGTAAGATTTCGCATAGGTTTAAAAATTGAATTGATTAAAAATCTATAGCTGTATTGTATTTAAATACAAATTATACACAATACGAGCCTCAAACCTATGTACAAAAAAGTTCGATTCAAATATTTTTAAAAACGTAAACGAAAACAAAAAACAAATATGTGTCATAAGCTATAAATCAATCGATAATATTTTACAAGATTCTATGTTTACTAATCGAATCGTAATATTTTCCATTTGTCTGTGATTTCGATATTTGTCTGTATATAATAGGTATATATTTTCGGAAATCTCCCCTCCCCCTCTGGAATATTTTGCCATAATTACAACCCGTGCACTGTATAACTATGAAATATACGAGAATATTATGGACCGTGCGTGATTTTTTTAGGGTTCTCGATGGACGTTGCAGGGGACACTTATGAACGGCAGAATAGATTTTTTAAACTGGACTATAAAACCGGATCAAATACACATGCTTAATTCGTTGTTCGTTATAATACTCTTACCACTTTTCGACATCGCAGTCTATCCGATTCTGTATAAAATCGGTATTAATACGTCTATACGAAAAATCACACTGGGCGGATTATTCGCAGCTTTGGCTTTCGTGTGTACCGCCACTGTGCAATACACGATATTTGTAAGTATAGATAATGGTCTCTTATTCTCTGTCCTCTAGCGATCACGATGCTAAAACTTCTTTTTCTATACTAGCCGATTTCTTAGATACTCTCCGAGAACGTCGATACTTCTTCCCTGGGTCTATCGTGAAGTCTCTTCCCCCGAGGATTGTCGCATTAGACGCTGATCTAATATTACCATCCGCCTCTATCGCCTTTCCTCATTCATATGGCTTAGCAGTCATATTATAGTCAGTTTGTCCTTTAATATAAAACCGCGATCACTGACGCCAAGTCTACGATATCATAAAGAACCATATGTCCCGATTGTACCTTCTTATTGCCAATTGTTTATTGTTCCATCGTGAACAAAGCCACAGAATAATTTCCATATTTTATTATCGAACGTCTTTAGTTTCCGTTCTATCTGGCGAGTTGTCGCGTGTTTAATGGCTTTCTTGTGCTTTTGAGACATTAAATAAAAAAAAAAATAATTAAATAATTGACTCTCAATTTATATTTTTTTTCTTAAATGTCATCGTTTATTAATTCGAACAAACAATATAATTAATGTTGCTTTATTATCTTAGCGAGTCAAACGAAACCATCTCCGATTACAAAAAAACTGTATTTTTTACAGGGCCAATCATTCTTAGCGCTGTCGACCAATGAAGGTAATATTTTAAGGATATACAACGGTTTCGGTTGCAAAGTCACCGTATCGGATCCGTCGGTTGGCAATAATTTCACGATCCAATCTTTAGACGTGTTGGATATCAATTATTACGGTCCGGTATCAAACGAAACTGGAGTTTTGTCTGTATACATAGATCCTATGTGCGAATTGAAAACGAATACTTTAAATCAACGCGTTTCGATCGCTAAGGAAAAGGTTAGAATTTACTCATCTTAAACGATAAATATATATGTATATATATATATTTTTTTTAGGTTTCCTCCTATATACTGCAATCGAACACTGCATCAAACGGTGACGGTATTATTCAATTGAAACGGCTACGAGAATTGAAGAAATTAAAAAACGGTAATCCGAATCTCAGGTAACGTGGTCGTGCATTTGCAAACACTTGAGGGCCGTAAAGTTGGGATTACATTATTGGCAGAACTTTTCAAAACATATCCAACAATAAATAGACTTGTTGGAAATGGTTGGAGCCCTCCTTTTTAACGTAGGATTGAGTAACTATGCAAAGTATATGATTTGAAAAGTTTTACTGACCGCAATGTAATGCCAACTTCACGTCATTAAATGTTGGTCTTATATTGTTTTCTCGATTACCATGCGAGTATATTACTTGTAGATTCTTGTGTGACGAAAGGTCGACCGGCCGATACATCACGTTGAGAGACGTTAATAATAAATTGTCGGAAATTAATATTCGACTGTCGCCGGACACGGAAGACCAGAGTTACGAAACGCCTATCGGAACGTGAGTGTTGTGCGGTAAACGCGATAAACATTCCGAATGTTATGCATTGAAAAACTATATTGCTCGTTTCAGTTACAATCTTTATGTGGACGGCGAATATCTTTCGCAGACGGTCGATTTACTTCCGGCCAGCGTCAACGATTTATTGCTTCGACCCGACCATAAACTGCACGATGTAAAAATACCCGAAGACTTTGTGTTGATTGCATTGGTGTTTTTTTTAATTTTGTATTTTATTTGTCTTATGTTACTTTAGAACGCCAGATTGATAACGACAGAGAAGGGAAAATATATACACATTTTGTGGCAAGTTCCCCAAACGCTGTTCATTTCTATTGCCGAAGTCATGTTTGTCGTTACGCTATTGAACTTTTCGTTCACACAAGTAATATATTTATATATGTTAAAAAATCGAAATAACATTAAAATAGTCGGTAAAAACGTTAAAAAACGAATTTTTATATTAATGTATATGTTACAGGCCCCGTCGAGTATGAAGTCAATTATTTCGGCGTTCAATTTGTTTACACAAGGAGTCGGAAACATACTAATAATTATTGTGGCAAAGATGAATCTATTTGAAAATCGGGTTCGATTAAACACGTTATTTCTTTAATGCATTTTTTTTTAATACATAATATATTACGTATTTATTTTATTTTTTTCGTGTTTCAGGGTCACGAATTTCTATTTTACGCAATTTTAATGATTTTTTCCATGATAGTATTTATGCTTATGAGCGCAAAGTATAAATTCAAATCCGCGACCGACGACCATACGGCCGATGACGAAAATAACGCATGATCTAAAAACGAAACGAGGAATATATTTAGTTTTAATATGACGTGTATGTGTGTTTTTTTTTTTTTTTGTCTGTCTTTAAATAACTTTTCGACCAGAAATTGTGACCGGGTCATCGACTACAGCGGACGGTTTCCAATAGAAAACATTATTATAATTGGTGTATTGAGAATGTGATTTTTTTGATTATCCTTACACTTAACCATCTATTGGAGGGGAGGAAATTGAAAATTCATGAATTTATTTTAAGGAACAACGATCAATTCTGTCAAAAGGCCTGTACGCATAATTTGTTTTCTCTGCAGCCTGTCTCACGCGTAGTATAAATGCTCATACAATTTCAAGTTTATTTTTCGTTTTTCGCAATTTCTGACTTAAAATTCAAGACATTTTAGATTCTGAACGGACCGAGGTATGTATTGGTTTCACAATGTTTTTTTTTTTTCTGTGGACAACTTTTCTACCAACAATTTTGCTCTGCTTTACAATGATAGCATTTTTTCTGAAAAAATATCTGACAGGGCTGGTACTTTAGAGAGGTAATTTTTTTGGTTTTCCCAAGAGTTTTCCAAATTAACGATGAAAGAATAAGAAAAACCGTTGGAAAATGAGAAAATAGGTACAATATTAAATATATATTGTTTCAAAAAGTATTTAACTCATGTAATTATTTTACCATATCATGGCATGCATACATTGTTGACAAAGCAACACTATTAATCGAACTCCGCTCAGATTCGTTTTCGGCTAGCAATGGTTAATCGTTGCGTACCGATATGCATTCAATTTCCCCACTATCTCCCCAACTTCTCATCTACAACAGCGGTCCACCACTGCACGTACGAAGTAAAATCAAAATAAACAGATTTATTCGTTATTATTTATGTTATACCGCTAGTCTATGTGTGTATAATATTTCAATAGCTTTATAATATATTCGATAATAAATTGATTTTTATATGTACGCAATAATCACAAAATGTGTTATTCAAACGCAAACGTATCGTTGCGAATGTTAATGTTTGTATTTCCCGCCGTTCAAAGCTCGTTGTATGATTACATCCGTTGCCGCCCAATACCCCCAATAACATTACGTAACAATATATTAGAATACACTTATCTAAAATAAAGAATAACATTGCGTAATATACATAGTGTACAAAATACCGCGAACATAATAGTAAACAATAAATAAATAAATAAATAATCAAACAAAATCAAATTTCGGCCAACTATAACGTAGCGGCCTAAACACCGACAATATTAAGGAATTAAACAAATCACGCGTAATATGTGCCTGGGTTTGAGTTCAAGTACTGTCATTTGCATAATACGCACATAACATAAATCGATTAAGATGTCGAACGGTATAACGCGAAAAATATCCCGTGTACCTTTCTATGAATGTACGCATAAAATATATCCGCGCGTTTTCGAACTAGAGTTGTTTACCGTACCCGTAATGACAATCGATTCGGTAAACGCCAACATCTATTGACCTGTAGGTCCTGCGTAAACATCGATCTTACTAAATTGAAACGAATCCGAATCAAATGGATTTAGCACGCTAAATCACCGTACTAGACTGCTCAACCGAAAACGGATACACGCGTTTAGTCGCTAAATTGTTGCACGATCGAACTACAAACGCGCGTTCCTCAATTCATCCGCGATGGCGTCGGCGGCGGTATATCGCTGAGGAAATATGAAAAGGAACGTCGTTTTAAACAGCGTTACCGCGAAACCGAAATTTTATTAAAACCTATTATTATTATTATTGTTATTTAATATGACACATATAATCTAGTCTACCGCGTCTCGTCAACCGACTCGGGAACACGGTGAACGATAGAGCCGTCAGAGATTTACGGATTTTAAATGGGGACAACGCGCCGACGCCAATCGCAGATGAACTGAGGGAACGCGTGAACCACTAAAGGAGAAACGGCGTAACGTGCAAACACGTGCAAACGTTACGGCTTTGAAAAGGCCGTCAAGCGCTGAAAACGTAACCAAGACGTTATGAATTGTTCTACAGATTATCGTTTACATTGCGAGTCACGCGTAATCGTGCACTCGTAATATGAGCGGACAACAAGGTCGTTCGTTTGTGAAAAATATACGTCGACTGCTATATGCAGACGAGTCGGGGCAGTTAACGGGTTTACTCGCGACGCGTACGAATCGCGATACCGAGATACGCGCGGCATTACGTTAATTATTTCCGACGCGCGATTTCGCTCTCCGGACGTGAAAACCGCGTCTCGCCATTACGACGTTTCCATCGTGTCTGCGGCACGCGCGCCGTCCGTCGCGTTCGCGCCCGCGGTTCCCGTCGTCGTCGCGTTGAACCGCGTCGTGTGGGTGCGCCGCGACGCATTAACCGCGGCCGCGGACGGTGTACCGCGCGGTCCTCGGGACGCAAACGGGTTTTGCGTACGGCGTAGGCTCGGGTTGAGTGCTGTTGCGGCGCGACGCCGCCGCGCCGTTTTTCGTCCGGACGGCGCGTGTGGCGCGTCGCGGGCGCGCGGCCGACGGGCCCCCGTCGCCGGCGCAACTATAAAGTACACGCGACGCGTACAATAATAATAATAACGTGACAGAGTCGTAAACGTATCGGACGCGCGTACAACACCTATTTATTATAATGCCTGCGACGGCGGTAATAATATTGTCGTTATTATGCGACCGGTCGACCACCGCGACGTTCGATCATTATCGGGGCCCCGTACCCGCGACAAACCGCTCAATTAATTCACCGCCGCGCCCCGTTCGGCTCGCCCGCCCCGGACGTCGTCGTCGTCGTCGTCGTCTGCTCGCGCCCGTCCATCCGACTGCACCGGGCGTACACCGGCCTACCGTCCGACCGACAGCAATAACAACAACACTCGGCGGTGTTCGCGTCGTCGAGTGTCGTCGACGTCGAAAAAACCGAAATCGGAAAAAAGGCCGCCCGCAATACGATCCCGAGGCCGCGCGATCCTCGCCGGCGACCCGCGTCGGTTATTATCGATCGCGGACGCGGAACGGTTGCGATGCGACGGTCGACAACATTCGATCACTTTTTTTTTTTTTTTTATAGCGTACACGTTTGTCCCGTACCGAACGCGGAACAATGAGACGCCTCCACCTCCCACCGAGAGAGAAAAATCCGTTCTAAGCGTCGAGAATGAAATCACGCGCGGACGTTACCGAACTGCGTATTCGAGTCGTGAATCATTTCGCGCGAAGCTGCACAGTTAATTTTGTACTGCCCATCCAAATATTTATATTTTTATTGACGCGCTCGAGGAAATCCAATCGAATACGTACATTCAAATCAGAAGCAAAGAAATTAGTAAAATGTCAAAACAAAATTACCGAAAAAGAGACTTTGTTAAGAGAACATACGATGAAATACTGTAATAATGAAATCAGTAGAATCGATTTTATTAAGGTTGTGTCATTTAAATATTCACCCAAAATATACGAGGGATTCAATTCACCTAAAAATTTTAAATCGGGACTCAATTTACCAAATCCGAATTTTATGACGCATACCGCTAGACCTGTACACTTTTTCGTTACCCGACACGGCGGACTAAGTCGGACTAAAATCGTCTAAGTAGAAAAAAGTCTATCGATGACGGTCTCGTTCTGAAAGTGTCCTTCGGAAATTCAGAGATATTCAATCAAAATGTTAATCAAAATTCCGATACTAAACAGTTTGATAGCTGATTTTATTGTTAGATCTTGTTCCGAAACAATTATAACGTTACCAACTGAACATCCATTGAATCCGTCGTTTTTTCTGATCGATATTCCTTTGATCCAAAGAATCCAAGATCTTAGACCGGATTAACAAAAACGAATTTTTATAAAATTTAAAAAAAATAAAAAAAATAATGGTAAACATGTGTGAAAAATTGCGGAAAAAAATTACTTAAGAAAGTTATTTTTTTAAAAAAATGCCATAAATTGACAGAAGCCTGTTCTTCTTTATGGCCAAAGATTCAATCTAATTACTTATCAGTACACATTTGCTAATCACGTCTCGTTATCGAATCCAATCTAAGTTTGTCGGGATATTATATCCAATAACCTTCCAACAGATCCGTCGTTTGATAGAATTTCGGACGGCGGGTACAATATTTTGTATCCCGGACGCCCATTAAAAACCGACGCCTTGGCGTTTATCACGCACGGCGTAGACGTGTGGTGGAGATGGAGTTTTTTTTCTAAAAATTGTATATGTTATAAATGTTATAATAATATAATAAAATATAGCGTATAAAATGTCGGTGATCGTTCGGGGATTTATGGTCCGGGAGCCGGAGGTCGAGATAAGAAACGGAGCCCACACACCGGTGCAGGTGACAAAACACCGGTTTGTACCTACCTATAATATTCTTATGTGCAGGGGACCCGCGACGACGACGGACGTGACGAAACGGACGAGACGAGAACGATAAAAAACGAAAAAAACAAAAACAAAAACCAGAAAATAATATATTACGACGTTACAGTGACAATAATAATAATAAAAAAAAAAAAAAACACAGTTTTCCGTCGCCACGCCCAGACCGCACATTTATTATTTTAATTTAGATTCTGAACGTAGCGAGAAGTATACCTATTGGATTTACTATGACGCGTTCTTTTTTTTTTTTTTTCTTAGTACGAGTCTGTAAACAACTTTTCTACAAGAAATATTTCTCCAATCACAAATTGGTCATTTTTTAATTTTTCTTGTTATCCTCCTAATGGACGAGAACAAACTGCAGGCAATCACTTGTATAGTTTTTGTTGATTTTTGTGTTACCTCGGCAACATGGCGAAAAATACGACTGATAATACTCTACTCAGAACCGTTTTCTTTATGTATACATTAAACTACCTTATCATATTCTCCCCTCCAACTTCCATCATAAACCAGTGGCACGTTCATCGGTAGTATCAGTCTTTTTCTAAAGACTGACTAATATTATTTCTATACACGATTCGAATCGTTCGTTGGAATACAGTGTAATCTAACGGGGGACCGGTCGCCAATCCGAACGGATACTCCGTCGAGGAAATCAAAAACCTCACGCTAACCGTATCATTTTAGACATAAACGAGCCGCGTTTAGTTTTTGGAACCTCTCGAAACGTATTTCGCCCGACTAAATTTTTAGGACTTTGGCGACACTGTTTGTACCTCCGTTTTTCGCGTCGGTATCTAGCCGGACGAATACATTCTATTAAATTTACGCGTGCAACCAAAACAGGGCTTTACGGTGAATTTTTTCTAGAGTTACCCGAGTGCGTCTCAATAAAAGATCATTTTCTAAACGTATAGTAAATTCAATGCGTCTTAGTCCATTTAGAGTTACCTAAGGTGCACCACGAGTAGGTGAACTGGCTTACGTTCCAAAGATATTTGGTTATTTCATTGCCTTGGTTCATAAGCATTATGGTTGTGTAATACAATTGTTTTGTTAAGTGTTATTTATACGCGTATTATACTAAAATTTGGTGTTTAAATGCCACTTTTTTCATTAAAAATTTCAAACATTAAATTCGGCTGAACTTTTAACGCGCTGATCAGTTTATCAATATTGTTAAGTCTTATCAGATTTTAAATAGATAAAAATGCGTACCTATACCTACAACAGTTGCATGGATACGAGTGTGGACGCACTCGGCCAATTCAATATAATTTGTCGATGAGACGCTATGAAAAAGGTAAAAATTATAAAAACTGGACGTACTTACCCGCATTCGGTTGGTCGGTCATTCGCTATCGCGTCCTAATTTGTTTGGTTGTACAATGAGTGTACCAATGCCGAAAGTGTTGGTTTTACAAAGATATTTATTGTTTTT